ATTCCTTGTGCGCACCGACATTTTGCCCTATCCGCTGTACTCATTGAGTCACCGTGATTTACATCCTTCCAAATGCTTTGTCGAACTGGGGTGTGGGGGCCCTTAGGATGGGGGATTCAACCTTTGGGAGAAGTAATTATATCCCACTTACGCCCGCATGGGTAGCTCAACTGATCATAGAGGTGAAACTTTGTAAGAATGACCAGGGATCGAGTCTCACCAGCGGCAGTGTGGGAGCAACCTCTCAAAGTGAGGGGGCTCCTTGTGCGCAATGAGCACCGGTCTAGCCTCTGTGATTAATGTTCAGTTGAGTCCACCGCTCTGTCGGGCCGGGGTCTCTCAAAGTGAGGGGGCTCCTTGTGCGCAATGAGCACCGGTCTAACCTCTGTGATTAATGTTCAGTTGAGTCCACCGCTCTGTCGGGCCGGGGTCTCTCAAAGTGAGGGGGCTCCTTGTGCGCAATGAGCACCGGTCTAGCCTCTGTGATTAATGTTCAGTTGAGTCCACCGCTCTCTCGAGCCGGAGTGTGGGGGGCCCTTAGGGTTGAGGTTCAGCCTTTTGCAAGAATTATATCCCACTCACTTAGTTATTGCTTCCGCGTCATTTTTGGCTTCATTTTAGTACGTGACATACTGTTTATAGAAGTACACGTATATAAGAGGCACGTTTTTTGTTTATTGAAATGCATTTATTACTAACTTTAATTTTAACTTGTTCTTTCTTTTCAGAGATTAATTGCTTTTGTCTTAACCAAATTGCTAAATTTCTTTAAAATTTGTAAGGAAAGTTTTTGTTATATTTAATCTTTTTTTTTTTTTTTAAATACAAACTTAAATTTAGCCTACCAAGATACTTTCACACTATGCGGCAGGCGGCAGCAATATTTTAAATGATTAAAAATTAATTAAATATTTGTGATAATGTTACCACCTTACAATCTAACTCGTCTAAATTAACTTTTCCAAAATCACTAACATGAGAAAATTTTATTCATAAATTACATAATTGAACTATTGAAAGTATGTAAAGTCTCTTACTCTCTTATCTAAGAATTAAAAAAATAGATATAATGATACGAGAAGAACCTAAAAGTTACCTCATTTATAGGCCTTCGGACGGGTTCATAAAATTCAATATATAGTATGGCAAAAGTATAAAATTTGAGTTATCAAAATAATTTTAAAAAATATATATATATAATGAGACGATTTATCAGAAGGAAAAAGTACATATTTGATCCAATTTATAGGATAATAAGTAATATATTTTTTATATTATAAGTATCACCAACTTTTAGTTCTTGAGTTGTGAATAGAGCAGCATTTCTAGTTTCTTTATTAATGAATTTATCAAAATTTGTCATTAATTTTTAAAATTTTTAATTAATACGAGCATTTATACCTATTTTTTGCATGGGCAGCTCAAGTGGTCATAGATGTAAAAAGTTAAAAGAATGACTAGGGATCAAGTCTCATCAACGGCAATGTAAGAGCTACCTCTTAAAGTGATGAGATTCAACCTTTTAGAAGAATAAGTAAAAATAAAATTTAAAACTAACTCAAGATTTTTCTTTTATTTATTTTCCAGAAAATACTTTATCCAATTGATGAAATGAACTTGGATACGTGTCTTCACCTATTGCACCCTCATCATGGTTAAATAGTAATTGTAGCCATTAATGGTTACATTTTTAAGTTTTAAATCTTTTAACCGTATTGCAATTTTAGATTTTTAGTTCTCTCATTTATGGAAAACGTTTACTTTATCTCTTTTCGTCACACGTGGAGAACATTAGCATGTTCAAAGTAAAACATAAAAATAAAAATTGTAAATATCCTAAATATCTACCCCTGTCAAATTACTTGAGATCTCCACAAACAAAGGGTAGTTCCTACACGGCTACACCCTAATTTTTTAAAAATGAATTCCAACATTGATTTATTTATGTGTGACGAAGAAAACTCACAACTATTATGTAATAGTGTGTATTAGGTAAGTTAGGTAAGTTCTATTGTGCAGTAATTCACAAATCACACATAAGAAGTATATTGCATTAGAGATACTCTAAACGATGAATTCAACTGAGGTACGAGACATTATTGTAACAATGTTTGCTATAAGCTACAAATAAGACATTATTGTAACTCACAAATTAACAGAATAACTTATTTTAAGATACAAATAAGCTATAAGCTCTGTTTGGTAAAGAAATAGGAAGAGTTTAAAATAATAACTTATTTTGAAACGCTACTTCAAATAGTGTTTCAAAATAAACGTTTGTTTTTTAAAACTTTTTCCCTGTGTTATCTTTATTAATTTACAAAAATTATATCATATGCCATTCATTAATCAAAATGTTAATATCTTAGTTATCATTTTTATGTCTTTTTACACTTATCAACTAATTCAACAATTAATTTTACCAAATACTTTAATTTCAATTAGTTAACTTAGGCTCTGTTTGGCAGAGCTTATTTAGGAGCTTATAACTTATTTTAAGCTACTAATAAGCTATAAGCTCTGTTTGATAATGTTCCCAAAATAAGCTCATAGCTTAAAATAAGAGCTTATTTTGGAACGCTACCTTAGGTAGCATTTTAAAATAAGCTCCTAGCTTCCTAACTTTTTTTCCATCTTTATCCTTATTATTTTATGAAGATGTCTTTTTTAGTCTTTTTATATTTATCAACTTATCAAAAAGCTAATTTTACCAAATACTTTCAATCATAACAGCTAGCTTAACAGCTCTTCAGTTTTCAGCTCCGAGCTTATAGCTTTTCAGCTTTCAGCTCATTTTCAACTAGGTTTGCCAAACATCGCCTTATTAGCTACTAACTTTTCAGCTTTCATATTTCAGCTAGACATGCTAAACAGAGATAATAGAAACTTCAAATTGTAATAAATTTTTGTAATGTTGTTTGTAATAATATTGTGCAAATTTTGTAACAAGCATATTGAACATAATATTATTAGGCGTTTGGTTTATAGAATAAATTAAAAATATAATTAACTATCAAACATAGCACTATTAGGTCACCACTCCAAACACAAGTTACACAATGCTTGAATTATATACGAACAAATTTGAACTCAATCCTTTTGAATCCAGTTGAAGCATTTCACTTTTTTTTTTTTTAAATAAAAAATTCAGAACAAATTATATAAGTAATTTATTAATCAAATAACAATATGAGATTGAGAGGGTTTACTCGACATTTTGCTTTGTACACTATTTCTATTGTCCTCTCTCCCTACTTTCAAAATTATCACAATAAATTCTTCACCAAAATTTGTATAATAAGACCATTTGTTACAATAAATGTTTTTACAAACATTTATATCTAGATAAAATATAAACAAAAATATCTAAATTAATAATCAATTGAGTTTAACTAAAAATTTAAAAGTTCCTTGAGATTTGAGTCCTGGTTCATATAATATGAATTACGTTTTAGACCCAATACTTACAATATTTGGTTTGAGTGAAATACCACATATTATGTTGGGCAACCGTGCATGGTGCATACGGTTCCAAAAACAGCGTCGTTTTGATTAAAAACGCGTGTCCGACTTTAAAAAATTAGTTTTGATTGCCGTTAACGGTGTTATGTTGTGCATAATTTGAACTATATATCTATAATTAATGAACTATATATCCTGAATGAATGAACTATATATACCCAGAATGAATGAACTATATATCCCGAATGAATGAACTAGATATCAAGAATGAATAAACTATATATCTATAATGAATGAACTATATAGTTCAAATTATGCACAACATAACATCATTAACAACAATCGAAACTGATTTTTTAAAAAAAGTTGAACTTCAAAACGACGTCGTTTATACAACCAACCGCTCCAGTGAAATACATACAAATTTTAATTTCGAATATAATATACATAAAATTTAAACAATTGATATTCAAACTAAATTTATGTCCAGATATAACATAAATAAAAATATACAAACCAATAACTAACCTATTAAGTTCACACTTGATCTAATACCAACGGTAAATTATAATGTTAAAACATTGAACCCGATAATATTTCAAAATTAAATACTCCGTACATAATATCTGAAGATTAGAGGCGTTAAATTAGTAAATATTGCGTATTAAATATAATTTAAATGTTGACCGGTTTAATTGTGATGCGCCACGCCAACCATAACATACCGTACATTTTTATGAGACTAACCATATTTAAACCTGTTTTTAGTTTAGACGGTTTCGAAATCTTGAATCCAAATCAAAGAAATGCTGAGCTGTCACTACAGTAAAATCCCCATGTTACCATCAATACTTAAAACCGTGATTATAGTGGTTTTACCACGTTTAATCTTAAACATTCAAATTGTCCTTCCCTCCCTCTCTCCTCCAGTGGTTTTTGAACTTTCAAATTGTTATCATATGTGGTCCAAGTTAACTACTCATGGTCATGTAACTACTAAATTTTAACCATTCATGATCCATGGTCCTTTAAGGAGGTGTTAAATTTTGTTAGTTGAAGGCAAGGAAGGGACACGGGTGGTTAACTCAGATCACATATGGTAACGATTTAAAAGTCGAAGGATCAATAGTGATCGATTTAAAAGTTTAAGACTAAACGTGACAAAATTATTTTACGGACCCCATATGACATTAACTCTAAAATTTGTTGGTCATGGCGTTAAGGACATAAGGGGTCATTTCCAGTATTCATGGTTGGAGATTATTGGGAGGAAGCCAATAAAATCTTAAGAACTATCCGGTCTGTCTCGAATAATGTGATGTAAGTAAAGAAATAAGTTGCGTATTTACTCTAACTAACTATAAGGCTAGAGGATTGTTGAGCGAAGGCCAATAAAATTCTTAAGAGTTAAGTACAACACTCCAACTGTATTGAACAATGTAATGACGATCTATATAAATAAGGAAATAAGTTATATATTTGTTACTAGCTATTGATTTTGGTCTGGGCAGTAAGCGCTTGGTCATAACAAAATTTAAGTGGGATTATAAAGTCATTACAGCAGAATTTATAGGAACTAAATAAGCATTCATCTCTATTTATGTGACTGCACTTTAAATCGGTAGTTTTCTTTTGTTTTTGTTGGGGTTATATTATCATACATGGCCGTCACTCTCACTCCCCCATTCTTGTGCGCGAGACTGAGCTAATTCCATTCCTTTGTACTGTGGAGTATACAGTGCTGCTCTCTCTGTGTAAAACCCGATCGTGCCCTCAATCTCACAGCATATAGATACAATATAATAAGCTCCTCTTTGGCATTCAAGAGTCGCAGAAACTGGGCGTTGGTTTTGTTTAATGTTTTAGTGCTTTTGTGTTGGAAATGGTGTGGGTTTAGTGAGTTTTAAGCATTGTGTTGATTTTGAGGGGAAAGTTTGAATCTTTTTGGGTGTTTTAGTGGTGGAATGGCTCCGTTTGGGTGGTGGGCTAAGGAGAGCCATGTGGGAACCCCTGTGGTGGTGAAAATGGAGAACCCGAATAATTGGTCAATGGTGGAGCTCGAAGGGGCATCGGAGGAGGATTTTCTTTGCGCCGCCGCCGCCGATGACGACCACGATCCCTCAATGCCCGCCGCCCGCCGCCGCCGGGAGAAGGTACGGAACAAGAACGCCAAGCAGCTAACTTGGGTGCTCCTCCTCAAGGCGCATAAAGCCGCCGGCTGCCTGACCTCCATTGCCGCCGCATTGCTCGGCCTCGCCTCCGTCGTGCGCCGCCGCCTCGCCTCCGGGAGGACCGACCGCACCGACAGCGGCGCCTCCGCGGAGAAGACCCGGTTCTTCTCCTGCATAAAGGTCTTCCTCTGCTTATCTTTAGTCCTGCTAGGGTTTGAGATAGCCGCATATTTTCAAGGCTGGCACTTCACCGCCGCCGATCTTCAAATACAGTATCTCTACACTTTAACTAACCCTCCATTTGAAGTTAAGGGTTTGTTTGATTGGATTTATTCCAAGTGGGTTTTAGTTAGGGTGGAATATCTTGCTCCCCCACTTCAATTCTTGGCCAATTTCTGCATTGTCCTGTTCCTTATCCAGAGCTTGGATAGGCTAATCCTTTGCCTGGGTTGTTTCTGGATCCGGTTTAAGAAGATAAAACCAATTGCTAAACAAGGAGCCATGGATCTGGAAGGGGGTGAAGGGGCTGGTTACTTCCCCATGGTTCTAGTTCAGATCCCCATGTGCAATGAAAGAGAGGTAGGAGAAATCAAGAAACTTTTATGGTTTTGAAAGTTTGAATTTTTAATCTTTGTAAATTTCATAGCTTTCAAGAACATGGATAGATGACAGTTTTGTCGGTGGATGTTGATATGTTTGGTTTGAAATGTGTCTTGCATTGCTGTTTCCAGGTCTATCAGCAATCGATAGCGGCCGTGTGTAGCTTAGATTGGCCTAAATCGAGCTTCTTGATTCAAGTTCTTGATGATTCTGATGATTCCGAGACTCAGTCGTTGATTAACGACGAGGTGCATAAATGGCAGAAGGAAGGCGCCAACATTGTGTACAGGCATAGAGTGATTCGGGAGGGATATAAGGCCGGGAATCTTAAGTCCGCCATGAATTGCAGCTATGTCAAGGACTACGAATTCGTTGTCATATTCGATGCTGATTTTCAGCCAGCCCCGGATTTTCTTAAAAGAACAGTTCCTTATTTCAAGGTATTATTTCTCGAGATGCAATTATGTAGCCCGTGCTTTCGTTGTTCAGTTTCGAGTATGAACTCATGTTTGATTTTCTCGAGTATACTTATAGGATAACGAGGACCTAGGGCTAGTTCAGGCGAGGTGGTCATTTGTGAACAAGGATGAAAATCTGCTAACGAGGTTGCAGCTCATTAACTTAGCATTTCATTTCGAAGTGGAGCAGCAGGTGAACGGGATTTACCTAAATTTCTTTGGGTTTAACGGGACTGCTGGAGTGTGGAGGATAAAAGCGTTGGAGGAGTCGGGTGGATGGTTGGAAAGGACGACGGTGGAGGATATGGATATTGCTGTCCGGGCTCACCTCCATGGATGGAAATTTATCTTTCTTAACGATGTCGAGGTATTCATAGGTGGACACAATTGTCGTTTGGTTATGGTAAGTTGTAAATTATGTGTGGCTAACTAACCGTAGTTTCTTGAATTTTTAGTGTCAATGTGAGTTGCCGGAGTCTTATGAAGCGTATAGGAAACAACAACATAGGTGGCATTCGGGGCCCATGCAATTGTTCCGTCTTTGTTTGCCTGACATCATTAACTCAAAGGTAACGTTTTTTTTTAGTACTACTGACTCTGTTACAATGCAGTAACCGAACATTACATATGGCTAAGGCTAACCCCCGAATCCCCGATCCTACTTGGTTTATTATGCAGATCAGCATTTGGAAGAAATCCAATTTAATTTTCCTATTCTTCCTCTTGAGGAAGTTGATTCTACCGTTTTATTCCTTCACTCTTTTTTGCATTATTCTCCCCATGACAATGTTCATTCCTGAGGCTACACTTCCATCGTGGATCGTCTGCTACATCCCCGCCACCATGTCGTTTCTCAACATACTTCCAGCCCCGAAATCTTTCCCTTTCATCGTCCCTTACCTTCTATTCGAGAACACAATGTCCGTCACTAAGTTCAATGCCATGATATCGGGGCTTTTCCAACTCGGGAGTGCGTATGAGTGGGTTGTGACGAAAAAGCTCGGGCGATCCTCCGAGGGCGATCTCGCCTCGTTGGTCGATGAAAAACCGAAACCCCAACGAGGGGTATCTGTACCTGATTTAGTCGAGTTGCGGGAGGAAATGAAGCAGAAGGAACAGAAGGCTTCCCGCAAAAAGAAGTACAACCGGATATACACGAAAGAACTAGCCCTCGCTTTCCTCCTTCTCACAGCTGCAGCGAGGAGCCTCATGTCCGCTCAGGGCATCCATTTCTACTTCTTGCTGTTCCAAGGCGTATCCTTCCTTCTCGTCGGATTGGACCTGATCGGGGAACAGGTAGACTAAAAAAACACGGTTTAATTAGCAGCCTCGAGTGAATATGTAGTTCAAGTGGACAGTCAAGTTGGTGTATATACACGATCCCGGGGGGAAATAATGGAGAGACGAAAAACCCACGCCTATACTCGTACTCTCCTCCCTCCAACGCACCCGTGCCTGCTGAAGTTGCAAACAAAATACGATTGCTCCAACACTGCAGCTTCGAAAAGAATGGTATTTTCTTGTTAATTACTACTACTTCTGTCTTGTAATTTTTATTTTTCTGTTTTGGGGTATTCTTTTGTAAGAAGAATTTGTCGGTCGAAACATTAAACACGGGGGTTAGATACAGTTGATATAGTAGTAGTAGTAGGGGGAGGGGGATGCAATAATTCATTGTCATCATCAATTTATTTCCATAATTTCATTAGAGGGGTTTGATGGTGGAGCCAATCCTCAAGAAAAGGACTTGTGTAGATTCTTGAAATCTTAGGTGAAGGGGAGATATTGTGTATGTGGACAACAAAGTTTGCCCCATTTGAAGCACATTCTTTTCATATTATCTACATTTTATGATGTTGTTGCTCCTACATTGTTTCTTAAAGGGCATTTGTGAGAATGTTTATATATATATGATTGTATCAGATACTATCAGTATTGGTGTCGATTACGAGTGTAAATGAGCTAAAGCTCAAATAGTTAAAATTGGACATTTATTAGGCTCGTGAGTTGCTTGAGCCGAGTATTAAGAGAATCGAATTCGTCTTGTTTTGTTACTTGAATTATCTGAGCTCAATTTTGACTGAACAGCGATCAAATCGAATTCAAATATTTATCGAATCAAACTCGAGAAGGTTAGCTCATTTACATCCCTAGTCTCGATTGCATCATATAAAAATTGGTATTTAATTCTTTTATTATAAGTTTGACTAGATTTATTATTATTATTTTTTTTCCAAATTGGTTGCTTTTAATTTTAAATGTTTAAAATACAATCACTTTTATTAAATTTTACTCTTCTACATGTGAGGGTATTTCATATTAATTTTTATTGATTTTAAAGGTTGAATATTAAATAATGATTAAATCGATAGTTATGAACTAAATGTAAAAAATATTATTATGGTCAAATGATTAAAAATAAAATTTGTTAAAAAATTGTTTGATTATTATTGTAGTGGTCTAAAACACATGTATATTCTATTCAATATAAGGTTACTTTTAAAAAGGTCCGAACTTATGGCAAAAAATTTTGGTCTCAATCTAATTACTTTTTATTAATGATGCAATTGACACTAGAGATGGAAAAAAAAGAAAAAAAAAATGTGATGACATTTATGTAATTATAATAGTTTATTTAAAAAAATTTGATAGTACATATGCATATAACTAAAAGTACACACTTGCTATTATAGATCTTGAGTGCATTGTCAATTATCATTTATCAACATATATTCTATCAAGCGTTTTCAAATATATTGTTGTAATTGCAAAAATGATTATTTTAGATGAACAGATAATATTAGTTCAGACGTATGTAACTACTAGTTCTCACCTAATATATATATGCTTCTCTATATATAGATTTCAAGTGAATATTAGTGTAACAACAAATAGAAAAATTATAGCAATAAAATATGTGAAGATTATGAAGGGGACAACAATATTTTGGCTTATTGTTGTTACGGAGTAATTGTTTATTAATGATAGATAGGTGTGGGTGCTAATTTGCTTGTTGTATACTTGACATGCTTCCGTGATATGCGTGACGTGACATGTCCACACTCACCTCCCTTTATATATTGATTGATGATACCATATACAAATATAATATAATCTAATATTATAATAAATTAAAATGTACCTTCTCAAAGCTATTTTGAAAATTTGTGACAAGAAAAATCCATAATTACTATTGGAGGGTATACATTAGGTAAGTTATATTTTTGTTTAAAAGCTGCGGTTTTATTATTTTTATTATCTTTTATTATTATTTAATTATTATATTTGTAATATATATAATATAAAAGTGAGATCATTTTAGAAAATGAGAAAATATTGCTAGAATGTAGAACAAATATTGTAAATTTGATGATGTGGAAGTGGGACCTATTTTAGAAAGTGAGAGAAAATTGTGGGATGAGGATAGCCTAAGTATAGTATAGTGAGAAGTTAGAGTTATACTTTTTGCCAGAGTTACTTATTGACTTTTTTAATTTGAGTTGATTAGTTATAAACAACCTATGCTGAATTATGTCATAGTGATTATTGGCTAGAGTTATAAGAAAAATTTCACTAAAGTCCAAAACATATATTCGAATAGCGGATGCAGAATTTGAATTTCCCACAAATCAAAGAAGTTATACTTGACGTAATTAAGGTATATATAGTAGCTTCATGCTTCACACGCTAAAATATTCCCTAAGCTAGTTTCCCAACAGTATAATACACTTTTTTTTTTTTTTTTTTTTTTGCGTTCTAGGATCATTATTGCATTTTAGTCCCTTATATTATATTCTTGAATAAGATTGAAGTCTTTCTTGATGTACATCATACATGAAATCAGAAATGTTACTTCATCATTATTCATTAGAATTAGGATTAGGACTTAGCAAAAACAACATATACAACTTTAATTTCATGGTTTTAAATCCAACCTTATACTTAAACGACTTAACTTCATTTCATTTTAATCAGCACCTTTTGATAAGTATTTCATCTTTATTACTAAACAAGCTAAATCATATTTGTCACCTATCATTTGGTCCCCTATTACTCATGGAATCAAATCCCTTTTGGAGAATACTCTGCAGGTCATTGTCCCATACATTCTGCATGAAAAAAAAAAAAAAAAAAAAAAAAAAAAAAAAAAAACCAAGCTTTTGTAATCTTTATCAATGCTGTTTTGAGCAAAAGAAACTGTAAAACTAATGATACGTCAGACTAATCCTAAGCAGCCCCCAGAATCCCTCCGAGGAAATAAACCTCTTATCGGTTAATGTCTCCTAATGATCGACCCCCAAGTTCCCTGTCACTGAAGCCAACTGCTTTAGGGTGATCAGTCGAATCAACTAAGCTAGCCCCGCAGGATAATGATCAGATACACTTTGATTATACCTGAGGTAAAGCATGCAATGGGGTTGAGCCTGGGATGCAAGTGAAAGATCTGTGGGGAATATTCAATCCTGGCAGAAAGATCTTGACAGAAGAGAATTGCAGATAAATTAAACTTCAATTCAGTGTTCTTTCTACAATACAAAATGGAAGGAATGCAGATTGATCTATTAATATATTATCACTCACATCTTTGGGCAATATCTGTTCAACATCAAGATTCATCTCTGGATTCACAGTTGCAAGCTTCATTGACAGGAACTATAAAACCATGAAAGCAATTCAGGAAAATGGTCGGACAATCGAAAACAACAAAAGTAGATTAATTGGTTCTGCTAAGGTTGCAGAAGTGAGAACACATATATACCTCAACCTGTTGCTGGAGTGACTGCACATACTTGATAATCTTGTCGAGCATCACCGCTTTCCCAGCAATCTACGAATCGAATCAGCAAGATTTGTTGAGCATATAACCATTAATGTGCAATCCAACTATCAGCTTAGGCTTTTAGTTGAGATGGAGCACATGCTTCGATTTGGTATCAGAGTCAGACCAAAGGTCATGGGTTCAAATATCTAAAAAAACCAGTTACTACCTTATTGCAGCCTGGGACTAGTTCTTGAAGCAGTCTCATTCTTTCACTGATCTTTTCTCTCCTCACCTGCAATTCTTTGAGGAAATCAAGCCTTTCATAGTATTTTCTGGCAAGAAAAAGATGAATATAATGGGGGTTACCCTTTCTGCAAGGCTGTGACTGTTTGTTGCCTGGCCTCTTTTAGCCCTCACATGAACATAATTTTCCTTTCTTGCACTGTCGTTTTGCCGCGTCTTATGTTTCTTTTTACCTTGTTCTTTTGAACATTCCAAAACATCTCCCATTTTGTATTAAATTGGAAGAACTAATGTACCAGAAGGTAATATCTTGCAGGACTCAAACTATAAACAAAATAACCAGGCAGCTTTATAGGACTGGGGAAAGGATCAAAGGAGGGTTAAGGTTAAATCAAGGAAATGAAATCTCTTAGCACAGTATCATTACAGATAATGGGAAGGGGGGAATTGAAATTCAATGAAACAAGCATAGAATCTAAAAACATTCTGGGTAAGAACAAATCCTAGGATGAATTCTGGTGCAATGAGTAATCACCAGAGACATGAAAGTATGAAACTTTGAGAAGCATAAAGTTAGAAAAGGAAGAAGTGAAAGGCATTGGATAAGAAGCCAATTAGAAAGCAGATTCCGATGCCAAGAACAAGAACTCGAAACAACCCCATAAGGCTCAAGATCGCGATTTACCTTCTCCAGCGACTCTTGGGCAAGGATTCCGGGGGCTTAGAATTAGTCTCGTATAAGCTGGGAATCTAATTTCGTTAAATATTCTGAGAAAGGGTAGCCAAAACTGCCCAAAAAGCACCAAATTCCATGGATAGTACTATTCTGAAAGCATCAAATACTTGCTTAAATTTCAAACACAGCAAAGAAAGCAGCAGTCTTTATAGATCAAAAATTCCAAGTTTCCTCCTAGAAATTTGTCAGTCCATAAATTGTTTATGCAAGACATTTACAGAGTTTTGCTCAGTAATTTACTTATAATTATTTAAACTGGGAATTTTTGTGCATGTGAGTTTGGCTACTTTTAAAAGACAAAAACCACAGATTACTGGCAAGTGATTATATTATATTGTTGCAGAACCTGATGCTTTTCCTCTTCCTTAATCCTTGTACTTTATATTACCTTATGTTTATCCTAAGAAAACTTTTCTGCATTGTGAAGACACATTTAGTAAAGTAGAATGAAAATTTTGACAATGTCCTACGTAATCCTCTGGGGAGAAACTTGTGCAGAGGTTGCTTGTGGAAGGGGCTTTCCAAGGCTTACATTTCTTATGTGCCCTAATGGAAAATTTTTAAAATATCGTTGCTATATAAGAGATTTTTAACATGACAAGTATGTCATCAAAAATGATAAATATGTAATTGAATAAAGTTGGCAGATTCTCAGTAAGTCAGGGAAAAGAATCTCATCCCCTTTTATGTGGAATTTACTTTCCTTGATATCATAGAATGTAATAAGTGAAAGATTACATCAAACGTGTGAATAATTTTTCCCCATTTTAAAATGAAAGTTCAAACTCTTCTGGTTGTCAAACGCCCTCTTAGAGTGTAATGAATAACTAACTACTATGTAGCGTGATGATATCTATGTTATCATTCTGAAAGCATTTTTTTTTTAAACCATAAAAATTGGGAATTATATTAAAGCAATGAGGTGCCTAAAAACGGAGATGATACATCCCTCCAAACAGACCGTACAGTAATCGCACTTCCAATCTTAACCAGTTAACATGTCAATAGCCCTTTCCTATTAATGGCCCATATAGAAAAGTAGCCCATAGGCTTCTCATCGTCAATAGCCCATGCAACCTAAGCTAAGGCTACCAAAGCCCACTATTTGAGCTTCGGAACGGTATACTGTGTAACTGTGTACACCATGCAAGGTGTACACGGTTTCAATTCATAATTTCTATAATATAGATTCATAATTTTTATACAGTATATATTCATAATTTCTATACTGCAGATTCATAATATCTATAATATTGATTCATAATTTCTGTACTGTAGATTCATAATTTCTAAACTGTATAATTATTAAATTATGAACATATAGTTCTGTGATTGTGAATACAGAGTTCAACAATTGGGAATATGAACATCCAAAATTATGAACATAGAATTTTGTAATTGTGAATATAGAGTTCAATAATTATGAATATAAAGTTAAAAAATTATGAATATATAACTTTATAATTATAAACATATAGTTCAATAATTATGAATATAGAACAGTGTGCACCATGTATGCTGCATACGATTGTACAATATAATTCACCTTGAGCTTCAATTTTTCAGTAGGTACTCAATGTTATGGTTCTTTTTTTTTTTTTCTTTTTTTTCTTTTTTTGGACACCTTGTTATTCTAGTTTAATGAATCATTGAGTTACTATGATTTATCATTTCAATATCGTGTTAGATATGAAAATAGGGGTCTTGGAGACAAGAAAATTTTGACTTTTGTTGGTAAAAAATAAAAATGAAAAACAACTGATGTTTGGTGGTTGTGCAATTTTAATGGCTACCCACGACATGGGCCAGTGGGGCAACAAAAAATAAATTGTAACAATGAGTCATTATTTATGATAGAAATCTAACTCCATCCTCCATAAATGAACTCGAATTTTACACATGCGAGTTTCATTCGTCATAAAAAAGGGAAAATTATAATATATGTCCCTCACAAATATGTCAATTATTAATATCATTTATGAATTATTAGTGGTGTAAATATTGTCTATTAATTTTCAAAACATGACATATATTACCCCTTTCCTAATAGGAAGAAGGAGAAATATTGTTGTCGTGGACTCGCGAGAGGAGAACAAACAAAAAAAAAATGAAGAAAAAAAAAATGTGATTTTCAAACAGGAAAAACGACAGGTAACCATATTTACACCACTAATAATCCAGATAAAAGACAATATATGTCACGTTTTAAAATTGAAAGACAACATTTACACCACTAATAATTCAGGTGTAACATTTATAATTGACATAAATTACAATTTTCTCAAAAAATAATAATAAATTCCACCCTCCATAAATGAACTTTCAAATCACTCCCTGGGATGTTGTTGTCTTACACATCCTATACTAGGCTGTGGTTCTACTTTCTTTTATCATTGTTTTGTTTCAACTCAACATCCAAAAATTCTTATTACATGTAAGATTCAAAGATTTCCTTGCCTATACCATTGATGAAACATTCATTTACTTCCAGGATAAACATCTTATATAGCAACCAATACAACTTCTGGGTAATTTGCAGAAGTTCTATATAACTGCAATATTACTGTTGTTACATGCTCTGATTTTATTAGAGGAGATGAAAAAAAAAAAAATTTACTATGACCTCTTTCTTTTGGGACCATTTGACTTGGTAACTACGAGATTCGAAATTCAACTCTTTGTGAGAGCTAGCTATATATGTTGACATTCTTGATTTGAATAGGTCAGCTACGAACAACCTAGGCTAAAACCTCTTTGTGGTCTTTGTCAGCAAAGGTCATAAGGCGGGCAGAGAGGTGGTTTGAGCTGATTAGTTATGAACAACCATACTGGTTTAACTTCTTGTGATCTTTTGCCGGCTAAGACAACAATATTAGTTTCATTCAAAACGCACTTCAGGATAGCAGTTGTTGACTTTTCTATATATATATATATATATATATATATATATATATATATATATATATATATATATATGGTAAAATATCAAGTTTTCACTTTATAAAACTAGACAAATTAAACATGCAAATTAAATATAATTTCTGTGGTTATAAATTACCATTTTGTGTTTTTTTTTTTTTGTCTTAAATTTTACATGGAAACAAGACAATAATGTGGAATAATGATACCCCATTTCTTTCTTCGGTTAGAAAACAATAATGTCACCTTACGCCAAACGAAAGCATTCAATTTACAAAAAATAAAAAACAAAAAAATGTTTGGTCTGCTTTCTGAGATTTCACGTGATTTGGGGTTTGAAATGGGCACAGGAAAGGGACATTATATTCAAGATTTTTTGAAATGAATAAAAAGAAAAATAATGGAAGAAAGACAGTTTCAAAGCAGGAAACAAGGAGCCTCTACAGGGAACAACATATATGCAATTATAAATCATCTCCTCAATCCTCATCTGTAAATCCTTTGAAAATGAAACAACATTTTGGTACCACATTATTGTCCCCATGTCCTTCACGTATGGTACAATAATCTGAGTTTTCTTGTTTTTTCCTTCATTTTTACCTCTGTTTTTTGTTGGGAAATCTTCTTAATTGTCCCAACATGTGATATTTAGAGATGTACACGTATACAAAAAAGATTACATCTTTTGTCAAAGTGGTCCTAATGGTTCAGTTTCTTTAACTGATAGTTATTTTGAGAGATTATTCTCACATTGTCACTGGTGAGACTCAATTCTTTATTTCTTGTAACAAATTTCACCATTGCGATCAGTTGAGCTGTCCATTTAGACTAGCTACTCATTTGTTAATTCTATGAATATAGATTGTATGTAATTGTCTTGCAAAGTAAAGTGTAGGAAAATTACAATTTCCATCCTTTAAGTAATTATTATTTATATCCCTAGTTGTTGTAGGTATTTATATTATTTAATTCGTGCTTTAGGAGATTACTACTTTTGTTCTTATTGTAGTAAAAAAAGTTACACACACAGGGATGGAGCCAAAGGAGCAGGGGGAACAGTTGTCCCTCCTCACCCCACCCCCACCCCATATATAATCTTTGTGTGTGTGTGTGTGTGTGTGTGTGTGTGTGTGTGTGTATATATATATATATATATATATATATATATATAAGTTTTCAAAAAAAATGTATATATAATACAAGTTTTAGTATTAGTACAAAAAAACTATAAAATATTAACCAGAAATGAGTTAGTTTAGTTGGCAGAGCAAATTTTTGATAATAGTAAAAGTCAAGAGTTTGAATCCTTTGTTATTAACATAGGTTTACAGTTTTTTTTTTACTCTTTCTCCTATAGCTTCAACACAGTCACAGTCACGTTTTTAATAACTTTTTATAATATAATGTATTTTCTATTCAAATTATTTTATCAAATTAATTATGTTTCATATTTTGTTGAATATTTTTATAAAGTTTCGATGTGTTTTATTTTTCGCTCATATCCAACAATATTTACAACTATATTTCTTTGGTAATTTTTTTATTTTTTTAAAATTATCTCTTTCGTTTTAATGTTTCGTCTTTACTGGAAAAACTTTCTGAATCCGTCCTTACTTCTTCGCCTCCCTTCCCCAACCGAATTTCTGGCTCCACACACACACACACACACACACACACACACACACACACACACACACACACACACATATATAGATTATATGAAAACCAACCTCTCTAGTCTCTATGAGACCATGACTCCATCAGAGTCAATCTGGTGTATTAAAAAATAGATCTATAGATGAGATTAACTAGGAGAATTAAAATTGCGCATGTGCATATGGAGCATTATGATGTGTGCATATTAAACATGTCCCTATGTTGCACACAACATAATTCTTCATATGTACACACACGTTTTTAATTCTCTCAATTAATCTCATCCATAGATCTATTT